GCTCCCCTTCTCCATTGACGTCGATCGAGGGGGAGGATCATGGGTAGGTGGCCCCTCGTCCCCCTTCTCATTCCGGTGATTTGCCACAGATGAGGACTACGGCGAAGGTGTCTATGGTGTCGATCGGCGACATGAACGCTTTGGGTGGGGGCCTGGGCAGGAGGCCTCGACCCCCTCCTCTCATGCAGTGGTAGGGCGAGGGACGCGGCAGGAGGCCTCGGTTCCTTTCTCTCCTGCAGTTATCAGGGCGGCCGCGCCTGCGGCGTCTGCTGGGGGGCGTGGGTAGGTGGCCCAGAGCTCTCCTCCCCCGCAGTCGCCGGTGCCGGTGCCTGCGTCTCTTAGCGCCTCTCTGGGTGATATAGCCTGTCCACACGTTGGGGGTGGGGCTGGAGGCCTCGTCCCTAACAGGGCCACTCGGGAGGAGGTCATCGCGTTTGGAGGCATCCCGGATCCTGTTTCTGATGGGCGGCGGATGAGCTCCCATCTCCAGGACCAGCCGGATGTTGATGACATGCAGTTGAGGTGCGCCAAGAGGGCGGCCAAGCTTCGTGATACTGAGGTCACTATTGGTATGTCGGTCAACACTTCCAACTCCATTCTGCATTTTTCTAATGATGAAATTATCTATAATGCAAATCAGTTAGGAGTTTCACTAGGTAGTAATGATAGTGAAATATCTAATTCTGTTAATGATCTCCTGGATCTTGAAGCGGATCGCGCTTTGGATATGATTTGCAACTTAGCAGCTGTTAAACCTATGAATGATTCCGATATTGATGCGTTGGGAGTCAGGGTGTTAGATACTCTCTGTGCAGATATTGACCCATCCCTTCCTGAGACTGAAGAGGATGAGGACTCTATACCTCTTGGAGATGGTGAACCCATTGAGGATCAGAGTGTTAGGTCCATGGAACCTGGTTATGAGGATCGGGTGGAGGATCATGACAGACCTAAGCGTAAGTGGAAGCGCAAGATTTATCCAGCTTTGGCAGTGCGTAGAAGTGCTAGGATCCGTACGACCAAAAAATTCATGATGAGTTATGAGAGGATTTTTTTGGAATAGTAGAGGTCGGGGAGACTTGGCTAAAAGAAGATTTCTAGCAGATGCTTCTATTGACCATAGGTTGGATTGTATCGCCCTGTCTGAAACAGGTAGGGGTAATTTTTCCGCACAATTCCTAAATACGTTATCGGGAGGTGTCGAGTTTGATTGGCACTGCCTACCCTCGAGAGGAAGATCGGGCGGCATTTTACTTGGGGTTAGATGCGAGACTTTGGAAGTCCGTAGTGTGGTTATGGGAGATTTTGCCATCAAGTTTCGGGTCAGATCGAAGACCGATGGGTCCTTGGGCATTGGTGGCGGTATATGGGGCCGCACAGCCAGAACTCAAACCAGATTTTTTTGGTAGATCTGGTTCGTATTTGCGGGTCCGAGCAGCTTCCAATCTTAGTTGGGGTGACTTCAATATTATTAGACACAGAGACGAAAAGAACAATGATAATTTTGACGGCAGGTGGTCGTTCATGTTTAATACCATTATTGAAAGCTTGGATCTGAGAGAGATAGAGCTTTCTGGTAGAAAATTCACATGGGCTAATACCTTGCCAACCTCTACGTTTGAGAAGCTAGATCGTGTCCTCGCGAGTGTTGACTGGGAACCGAAGTTTCCTCTGGTAACAGTCCAGGCGTTACCACGCGGAATCTCGGACCACACCCCTTTACTGATTGACTCTGGTGAGGCAACGCATGTGGGGAATAAAAATACTTTCTCTTTCGAATTAGCATGGTTTGAGAGAGAAGGTTTCTTCGACCTAATAGACCGGGAATGGGCTAAAGAGATAGGAGGGAGGACCTCTATTGAGAGATGGCAGAATAAGATAAGACATTTGAGAAGTTTCTTGCGTGGATGGGCTAAGCATCTTAGTGGGATTTATAAGGTTGAAAAGGAAAGACTCCTTACTCTTATTCAGGCCTTAGATGTAAAAGCCGAGTCCACAATCCTAGAATCCACAGAACTTCATGCTAAAGTAGATGCGGAGATGAGATTGAAAGAACTCCTGCGAGAAGAGGAATTGAAGTGGGCATTGCGGGCTAAGGTTCGCAAAGTTGTCCAAGGGGACACCAATACTCAATTCTTTCATATGATAGCTAACGGCAAGCATAGAAAGAAAAGAATATTTCAGCTTGAGCAAGATGAGGGGATGATCTTAGGGCAGGAAAACCTAAAATTATACATTACCAACTACTATAAGCAGTTTTTTGGGCCGCCGGAGGATAATTTTGTGTCCCTGTATGAGTCAAGGATTGAGGATGTCCCTCAACTAGCTGCGGATGAGAATGAAATTTTGACTGCACCGTTCTCGGAGAAAGAGGTGTTTGAAGCTATTTCTCATATAAAGAACAATGAAGCTCCGGGGCCAGATGGATTCCTAGCGGAGTTTTATAAAAAATATGCTGGCATATTATTAAGGGGGATTTGCTGCCGATGTTCCATGATTTATTCTCTGGACAACTTCAGTTGTTTCATCTAAATTTTAGAACTATTACTTTGCTTCCTAAGAAAACAGAGACCGTGCGAATTGAGCAGTTCAGGCCGATCTGCCTTCTTAATGTAAGTTTCAAAATCTTCACCAAGGTTGGGACAAATAGACTCACGCAGATTGCGCACTTTGTGGTGCAGCCGTCCCAAACTGCTTTCATGCCGGACAGAAACATCCTAGAAGGGGTTGTGGTCCTTCATGAAACACTCCATAAAATTCATACGAAAAAACTAGACGGGGTTGTTTTCAAAGTGGATTTCAAAAAGGCGTACGACAAAGTCAAATGGCCATTTCTTCAACAGGCCTTGCGTATGAAAGGTTTTGATCAAGCCTGGAGACAATAGGTAGAGTCTTTCACACAAAAAGGGGGTGTTGGAATTAGAGTAAATGATGACATTGGTCACTATTTTCAAACACTTAAAGGCATGAGACAAGGAGATTCGATGTCACCTATTATGTTCAACATTGTGGTTGACATGTTGACGATTCTAATAGGAAGGGCCAAGGATGTTGGTCAAGTAGGGAGGCTAGTACATCATCTAGTTGATGGAGGTGTATCTGTCCTACAGTATGCCGATGATACTATCATCTTTATGGAGCATGACTTGGCTAAAGCGAGAAACATGAAGCTGGTGTTTTGCTTATTTGAACAATTGATCGGATTAAAGATTAATTTCCACAAGAGCGAATTGTTCTATTTTGGAAGAGCCAATGAGGAACAAGAGGCATATAAGCAATTGTTCGGATGTGAATTGGGGGCTTTACCTTTCACTTATTTGGGTATACCAATTCACCATCGTAAGCTAACAAACAGAGAATAGAAGAACATTGAGGATCGTTTTGAGAAGAAACTGGGATGCTGGCAGGGCAAACTGATGTCATATGGGGGCCGTTTAATTCTCATTAATTCGGTTCTCACAAGCATGCCCATGTTTCTTCCGTCTTTTTCGAGGTTCCAGTTGGAGTTCGGAAAAGACTTGATTTCTATCACTCCCGCTTCTTCTGGCAAAGTGATGACCTCAAGAGGAAGTATAGACTCACTAAATGGGAAATTATTTGTCGACCGAAGGACCAAGGGGGTCTCGGTATCGAAAATCTTGAGGTGAAGAACAAATGTCTTCTCAGCAAGTGGGTGTATAAGCTATCTAGTGAGACCGGGGCTACATGGGCACAGATTCTGCGTAATAAGTACCTTCATTCCAAAACTTTATCCTAGGTGACAGTGAGGCCGATGGATTCGCCTTTCTAGAAAGGACTGATGAGAGTTAAATCAGTCTTTTTTAATCGGACGAAGTTTGTTGTTGGGAACGATACTTCTACGAGATTCTGGGAGGATACATGGCTAGGGGATACGCCCCTCGCGCTTCAATATCCTTCTCTCTATAGCATTGTTCAACGGAGAGATGCAACCATTGAGACAGTATGCCAGTCCACGCCTCTTAATATTCACTTCAGGAGAGCGCTAGCCGGAAACCGTTGGGAAGCTTGGCTCCATCTTGTGAGAAGATTGATGGATGTTCAACTAACTCAACGATCCGATCAGTTGTGTTGGAAGCTAACTAGGAATGGAGAGTTTACGGTTAAATCCATGTATTTGGATGTTATTAATTCTAGCTCTATTCCTAATTCGAAACATGTTTGGCATGTCAAAGTTCCCATGAAAATTAAAGTGTTTATGTGGTTTGTACACAAACAAGTCATTTTAACTAAGGATAACTTGATAAAACGCAACTGGAATGGATCCACTAGATGTAGCTTTTGTGATCGGGATGAATTCATCAAACACCTCTTTCTTGATTGCCCCTTGCAAAAATTCTTTGGCAGTCTGTGCACATAGCCTTTAATATTACTCCTCCGAATAATATCAACACGTTATTTGGGACGTGGCTTGATGGGTTGAGCTCCAAACAGCAAGACACATTCGCGTAGGAGTATGTGCTTTACTATGGGCTATCTGGAATTGCAGAAATGATTTGGTCTTTAACAGAACAACAAATACTCATTTTTTGCAGATTATCTTCCGAGCCACTGCGTTGATCCGTATGTGATCGCTACTCACTCAGACGGAGGCCAGGGAGCGTTTGGTTACTGGATCTATCCAATGGGAGATGATAGCACGGGATATTTTCAACCAGTTTGGATGGCAGTCATGTAATAGGATAGGCAATTAGTTTTCCTATCTTTATCTTGCTAGCCGGTTGTGGTTTTATTTTTGTTCTTTTGCTCTTTGTGAGCATTTTTTGTACTTTATTGAGACTTTAAGACTATCGTCGAACTATTTTGCTTGGTAATAAAGGTGGCCATATGCATCGTTCTGATGCAGAGGCCGGGATACCCCTTTTCGAAAAAATGTATAGATTTCTTGTTCGAGTGTTCACTTTTTTTATTCAGTTAACTAATTCAATGTGAGTTAAAAGAAACTTAGTAGCTCAATTGTCGATTTGTCTTGTGTGATGTAGGCAATGCAGCTTGATCCTGATGATGCAGTCTTGTTCTCAGACAGGAGCCTTTGTTGGCTTAACATGGGGAATGGAAGAAAGGCTTTGCTAGATGCTAATAAATGCAGAAAAATGCGGCCTCACTGGCCAAAAGCTTGTCAACGGCAGGGTGAAGCTCTGATGCTACTGAAGGTTACATAGAGGATATGGCTGGCTGCTTTCTCTTGGTATTGCAAATTGTTTATGATTGCTCCCTTGGTCTTTTATCATCAGGACTATGAGGATGCAAGTGAACGGCTCTTGGATGGACTCAAATTGGACCCAGTGGACAGTGATATCGAGGATGCATTACGGTAAAACCCATCTGCCTCTTTGGTTACACTAATGCCTTTTAACGACTGGCTGCCCGTGTTTCAGCACATCTCAAGCACAGTATTAGTTAAATGTTGAACACTTACGTATGCTGTAAGTACATGCATGTGACCTTGTCATGAGACTGTTGGGAACTTGTGAAGATATCGACTATAGCTACGTTCTATTTTGTGCTTGTTAGGATTTCGGAATGCCACTTTATACTGTTATCAATGCCAATGCCATCTCTTGCCATACACCAACCTACCCTGACGTATAGTAACTCCGTAATCTGCCCTTGAGTAGTATTTGACTGATATTTAGAAAGAGGCATGCATGTCATATTCACTATCAATATATACTGTCGTGCAATGGCCAGACGTAACTATGCAATTTCAAATATCTGATACTTCTCCTTGGAATATCCAGGGAAGCTATGAAGTCGTTGAGGACGTCTCGGAGCACGAAAGCCAAGTGACTATTTGGGTGTTGCAGGGAAATCAGTTGAAGACTTGAAACAGCTCAGGAGTTTCTTCATTTGCGCAGAGACTGAATTCCTTTATTAGAGAGTAAAAGTAAAGCGACGTGTCTGATGGGAGTATTGTCTACCCCTTTGCAACAGCCGTGAGTCCAGATTGAAAGAAAGAAACGCAGGTGCGACAAGCACCTGTTGCCATCAACTCTCGAGTCTTCGTATCGTCTCATGTAGGTGTGTTTCGTGGCTCTGGCCGGTACTAGTATGCTTCCTCTGACGGACTTCGTCCCTTCATTGTAGTGACGAAATTATCAGCCGTTTCTGAACTTCCAAGGATTTCCGCCTCCAGATTTTACTGAATGCTGATCAGCTGAAACTGTACAGTCCAGGCCGGCAACCGGAACCGAACAACTACAAAGTTTCGCTCTCGATTTTTTTCACTATCACGTTTCTTCTCTTTCAGTTACCGCTTGTACTTGTAGTACGCCATTTGAGTGGATGAAGAAATTAACGTACCAGCTCACTCTATTGATGTAGTGATCTAAAAGGTCTTGTATTTGTTTACAGAGGGAGTTACATAAAGAGTAGGCCGCAAGGTGTGTGCACACGCCATGACCAATAGATAATTGGAGATGTTGCAAAACACGTTGCCCATTTTGATTATAGGAAAGTCGTCGTCACATGGATGCCTCACTCCTTTTGTTGCTGTACCCGTTAAAATAATGACACTCGTTAAGAAAAACTTAGACGTAAAACAGGATATAAACATGTGTGTTTTTTTAGAAAATGAGGAATACCTCCGGCATCTGCATCTGGACGATGCATACGGCCAATTTATTAATTATTAATACAAGACCTTACAAAATCGTACAACAGTAAGACCAAAGCCACCATCTTCGCAACCTCTGTCGCTACTCCTATCTAACTGATGAAGGGGCGCTGATGGTCTGGGCCTAATACCAAACGGACCTCGTAACCAAACCTAACATCTAAGACCTGAGGTCCCACCCATGACGCCTGCCGGGTATGGGCACCCACCAGTCCGGCGTGCTCCTCAACCAGGACGCCTGCCGGGTATGAGGCCGCCACAGCCACCTGTCACATATCCATCTTTAGAGCTGTACTGTTGCATTGGCCTTGCCGGTCTCGCTGCCACCGACGCCAGACAGCGTCGACCTCCTGCGTGTGTCTGTCACCACATATCTGACGCCAAGCCTCCGCTGCTCCATGCCGCCAAGAGCCGCCGCCAAGAATATGTAGAATGAAACACCGCTCCACCGAAAGGGAGGCAGCACACCCCCACCCCTCACCTGCAGACCCCTCCATCCGATCCCAATGTCCTTAGCGTCGCCTCCAGGAAGGTTACGGTGCACGGGGCGCCGCCGACGCCCAATCTGCATCGGATCTTGGGCTTTCACCCGGACATGGGTCGGAGTGGAGAGATGGTGCCCTCAGCAGCGCCCCCAAGGAGGAAAGCGGCGCCAAAAAACGGCGTCGCCGCTGCCGGCCAGCCAAGGCGGCCAAGGTTTCTCCCGGACACCGATTTGCTCCACCAGAACACACCGAAGTTGGATCCGGCAAGATCCAAACCGAACCGGGGACTGGGAAGGGATGCATGGAAGGGAAGGGGGGCAATACCTCCAGATCTGGCATGCCTGCGGCTCGCCGTCCTCACGGCCGAACCCTCATGCATGTGTTTGTAAGAGGTATGGAAAACACCGGCTAGTTAGGCTGCTACCAAATCAAATCAAATCGAGGTACTGGCCTTTTTACAGCCATAATGAAATATGCCTCTTTGACAAAAAAAAATAAAAAAAAACATTTGAGATATGCCTCTTCAGCCATAGATGTTTTCTTTTTCGCCTAACCCTTGTAAAAGAATGAACTGAGCCCGGGTAAATGGTATGCAATTTCCAGCATCAGGTAGATTCTTTTTCTTAACAGATCGTTCGCACGTCACCGGTTTTCCGGCGGCAGAATGATCAAACCTTCAGAAAACTCGGATCATGCTGCAGCCTTACAAGCATTTACAGGGTTTGGCATAAACACTCACAACCAGCTTTATTGGCTATATACTACTCCCTCTGAACCGAAATAGTTGTCGCTGGAGTAGCTGAATTCAGCTACTCCAGCGACAACTATTTCGGTACAGAGGGAGTACACAATAATCTAATGGAAGTTCTATGTACCTGCTGCATACGGAGTGTACCCGCAGTTTGGCACGATGCAAACTATCTACACTAGTGATACTGTCAAACAAGTACTCCCTCCGTAAACTAATATAAGAGCGTTTAGATTACTAAGTTAGTGATCTAAATGCTCTTATATTAGTTTACAGAGGGAGTACGATGCAGCAGACTGCATTCTCTGATCTACTAGGGTTGACTCAAGTCACTCAGCTATGGTACATACAGTTACACTCACCGCAAAAGCAACTGGGATAAATGAAGAGCGTGTGGATCAGCAAGCGGTTCGCAAGAGATGCCGGATGCAGCAGTGAAGCTCCAGCCTGACACTTGGAAATCCTACTGGTGAAGGTGTACCCGCGGTAGCGCCGGGCTAGCAAGTAGTTGTCCTCAGAAATGCAGATTTTGCAGAAACCTCTATCGGTCTCCAGATTATGCTCTCAAGCTTGCTGCATAAGTTCTTGTAGAACTGCCATGAGTATAGCATAAAGTTAGCACGCACTGAGGACAGATAAGATGGCAGAGTGAAAAAATAACTCCCTTAAATTATTAGTAATTTGATTAAAAAAATAGCTCAAATTTTCCGAACTTTTCTATGATATCAAGAAGCTCTAACTCATAGCGATGGTTTTGATTTTGGACAAACTTAAAGCCTATGTTCCAACCACTAATGAGCATCCAACTTCTCATAGCATGAAATTTACAAGTGACTTATATTTTTCGTGGCAAATTTATGTTTGGTGAGTAATTAAAAACATCAAGTTTAGTGTATTTTACAACTAAAGACATTTTCCCTAACTATGACAGCTATCTGCTGATACTCATCAAGTTTCAAAATCTTATGTTCCAACCACAACAGTGCCCCAAAAAATTCCAACAGGATACATGATGTGATGTGAAAATAACAAACCCTGTGGTATTCCAGAGAGTCACCAGCAACCTTTCGAACATCCACCATAAATAGAGAAGGAGCGACTTCAAATATCTGAAAATAATGCACTCGAAATCATGAGAATACATGTGAGATGTTGTTGCTGAACAAATTACAAAACTGAAGCGCTTGATAAATCACCTCTAGAACAACAGCAAATGGGCTCATTTTGTTTGATGATACTCCTTCAAGACGCAACTACAGTCCAGTTAACAATATGTGTCAATACATTATCAAGATTAACAAAAGATAAATATTTTCCTAGAGTTGTTCACTGAAGCAGTTTTCCCACAATTACCTTGTAATTCTGGGAATGCACCTTGAGACCCATGGAATCAGCAACAACTTCAATTGTAGCAGCTATAGTCTTTGCTGGTTTCCTTGAGACGAAGCGAGTTTGGCGTTTGACATACTCCTGTAAACAGAAAATCCATCATTGCGGCTTCTACAGCTACATGAATTGATGAATAGTTTACGCCACAAAAGATAGAAAAAGAGATGATATAAAATAATATGTCACTTATCCATGAGCATTGCAGTTATGCATAATTGTACATAGCAAACATTAAAGGAAGATAATAGAGAAATCCAAACAAAGGGTTCTCAAAAAAAATTCCAAACAAAGAGCAGTTTTAACATGGACGTAAGAAGGCAAGAGTTACTTAGACCCGCTACTTAATGAAATCAATGGCTCAGATCTATTATATACTCTTAACTCTCATGTGAAAAGAGGAGGTAAGAGGGACAATGTTAAAATTTGCCATTCTGAATATATGGTTGAAGTGTTCAAATACTTTGGCAGTAAACAGCCGCGACATAAATACTATGGAAATTAGTATGAAATGTGGGACCAACAAGTGCTTAAATCTACATATACCATGCAGGTCCCAAATAACTGATAATACCAAGACCAATTGAAAACACAGAGCGGGTTCTTCCTTAAAGTATGTATAAAACAGCAATACTAAATACTGACAATCCTCTTCCTGTCAACTCTCAAGCCTAACATCACAGGAGTTGGGGGAACATTACAAGTTACCACCTGAGACCAAATGGCATAAGAAAGTGCTGCTAAAAACATTAATGAGGAAAAAAGCTGAACAGATCAAATCTCTACATAATCTTTACCCAGCAAAGCATTGAACTTATTGTGCTAATCATACCGCAAATAAACATTCAACCATGCTGACTAAAGAAACTAACGAAATTACCTGTTGTCTATCAAATAATGATGAAAGATTTAAACCTTGAGATAGGGTAATCATCTCAAAGGCATTCATCATAAGAGGACCACCGTCATTACGAGTAACTTGCTCAGATACATACTTGTCCTGAAGCAAGAAATATTAAAAGTTAACTTAGACCCTGAACAAGGAGAAAAATAAATATATAAAACATCACTATGCACCAAAACAATACTTTATCCACAAACCTCGATATTATCAAAAGCAGCCTGTACATCATCCAGACTGACGTTTTCATCTTCACCATGTCTAACGCCTACATAATTCTTGCTAAACCATGTGTCTGCCTTCATTTCTTTAATAGTCATACGCTGCAAAATAGTGTGAAAGCCTAAGAAACCATAGGCAGCAATTTAAAAATCTAGATAGATGAAATACTCCATGCTGCTGAACTAGATTTACAGGTTAGGTTCTAGTTAACAAATTTCTCACATATATGTATATGACATTTACTTAACATATGATAACACTGATATGAAAAATGGAGATAGTGACACTAACATAACTAATTGATGACCACAACTCTGGCAGCTTCAACTCAAATGATACTTCGTCGTAACTGCTAAATGTTGCTAGATGATGCAATGCCACAACCTCATGCCTGCACTTACAGTTTTTGGATTTGGATCAAGTATTCTCTGGATCAATGACTTGGCTCCTTGAGAGAACCAATCTGGGCATGAAAAGTGAGCTGCAGTTATCTTCGAATTTGACAAACAAACATGTTAGCTTGAAAATATGAGCAAAATCATCTTGTATCTATTAAATGTCAACAATTTGGGGAGAATAAGATCCATGAGGACCATCACACTGTTAAAGAAGCCAGTACCTTATCATACAAGGTTGGAAGATCATTTTCTTCAAAGGGAAGGTACCCAGCCATTAAAACGTAAAGAATGACACCACATGACCAAATATCTGCTGCAGATCCATCATAGCCACCATCGCTAAGCACCTAAACAGTGATCCAAGTTTAAGTCCAGAACATATATGTACTTAAAGCTCTAATTTCATATGCACAAATGGTCCAAGATGCCGACGCTGACATCTCCATAGACTACTTTAAAGTTTAGATAATTACAATAATTAATTATAGTATGAACATGGTAAACACGATGGATAATGGCCATAAGTTAACTTCTGAAATACAGCTAAAAGTGAGGATTTGATCACCGAAAAGAACTAATAGACAAACTGACTGCAAGATAGGCAGAAGTGCAAATGATAGATACAAAAAATAACAGATGATGTTTCTTACAGTCTTATAGGCATCTTGTAATCTTAAATGATTTATATTAAAAACATAAAAAGGGAGAAGGACAGGATACAAAAATAACAGATGATGTTTCTTACAGTCTTATAGGCATCTTGTAATCTTAAATGATTTATATTAAAAACATAAAAAGGGAGAAGGACAGGAGTCATATTTCTGTACAAAATTTACAGGAAAAGGGAGGACATTCAGTAGAACGGAATTCAAAAGTCAATTTGTGTATAGGTTGTTTAGTTTTTGAAAAAAAAACATTGCATACCTCAGGAGCAACATAATTCGGGGTGCCACATGTTGTGTGAAGAAAGCCCTAGAACCCCTCCAAAAATAGTAATCTTAATCAGCACACTGAAGTATAAGTATGGATTGTTAGAAAAGAAATCCCTGAACTCACGTTTTTGGACAGTGAGCTAAGTCCGAAATCAGAAACTTTTAAGTTCCCGCGTGAATCAAGAAGCAGGTTTTCAGGCTACAGAACGAGATTCAAATTGTCAAACATGAGAAAATGCAATTAGTCAATAACAGAACAGCAAGTGACACATGCACCTCTTATTTAGAACAGACCTTCAGATCTCTATGATAGACACCTTTACTATGGCAATAGTTAATGGCATCAATAAGCTGCTGGAAATACTTCCTAGCCTCATTTTCACGAAGCTTCCCTTGGCGGGCCTACAGATATTTGATATTGACAAAGGTTAATATTTGGATAAAAGACACAATAGTAATCAAGAAATACGTCTACACTCAGCACGTAAACCGCAGAGATCCTGAAACATTTATATTATATTGATCCTATAACATTACTGTTTGGCAATGAATTTGTCACAACTCTCCAATAAATTGCATATAACCTCCGCATTTTTACTTGCTGTATTGTACAAGCATCTTCCACATACACAAATACATATGCAGGAAAGTTTCCTTCTATTGGCTGTTGGGAGCATATAAGGGCTTTATCCAGCATTTAAGTTAACGCTTACTAAGCAGCAAGTTTCTGATATATGTGGCACCATCAGGATCAACATATGGTTTGCCTCGGTTTAAGCAGGGCCGGGGATCTTCATAACTCTAAGAGCATCTCCAACAGGTGCGGCAAAAGGCGCGCCCGCGCGGTAAAATTTGGTTTTAGCGCGCGCCGGCTGGTTCCGTGCGCTCCAGTGGTGAAGGGAACTTACCGCGCGCGGGAGAAAGCGGCACGCGGCGCGGTAGATTTGGCGCGCCGCTTCGCGCGCGCCTATAAAATGCCGCGCTCGCCACGCGCACAGACACAGCCACGCGCCCTCCCCTCGCAACCTCGCCGCTTCGCCGCTTTCCGCGTCACCATCGCGCCACCATGCCGCCGCGCCGCCGGGGTTTTTCGGGCTACCGCGGCGTCCGCGAGCGCCCCAACGGCTAGTACTCCGCCGAGATCCGGTCCGGCGACGTCCGGCTCGGCCTCAGGTTGTTCCGGAGCGCGTACGAGGCGGCCCGCGCGTACGACGCGGCGGCGTGGCGCTTGGATAGGCCCCGGTCGCAGATGAACTTTCGGGACGTCTTCACGCGCGAGCAGGCGCAGCGCGTCGCCCCTCCGCCGCGTCTCATCACTGACATGGACCGTGCCGACCACGCTCGGCGCTGCCGCCGCCTCCTCATCGCCGAGGAGGACGAGCGAGCCATGGCGGAGTGGCGCCGTCGCCACCCGGAGGACGTCGCCGACGAGCGTGCCTACTGGGCGGAGAGGACGGCAAGGCGCCGCGCGGAGCGGGCGGACCGGCGTCGGTGGAAGGCATTGGCGAATGCGCAGTGCGATATCGTTGAAGCAGGTGGGAGGTCGATCTTCACGTCAGACGATGAACGTTGGGACGACATATGGCTCGATACCTCGGACAACACCGACGAGGATGATGATGATGGTAGCGACTTGGAGTAGTTTCTATCTATGTATGCCGTAGTAGTTTCTATCTAGTTGCACCGTAGTTCTATCTATCTATGCTTTCGAACTATCTATCTAGTTGCACCGATGTAAAATACCTTTGTATCGTTTTTTATCTATGCAATTTATCATTTTTTATTATCTTAATATTTATCTATGCTTCCGAAAATGTTGTAAAAATGAGCGCGCGTGCTGCATTTTTGCGCGCTGCTAGAGCGGCGCGCGCGCTGCATCTTAGCGCGGCTGCTGGAGTCAGCGCTGCTCGCCGCGCCAAATCAGGCGATGGACGCGCGGCAAAGCTGTTTTTTGCGCGCGGCGCGTTCGGCGCCTGTTGGAGATGCTCTAAGAACATAAACGTAAATGAATTGTGTGTACATGGTTTGCAATAAAGCTGAAGTTGGTCAACTAGTAATCACAAAATATGATCACCATATAGATCTGTTAAAAGTGCACTATGAGTAATTAAGATAGATGTAATTTTTATTATTTCTGGTATTCATTGTACTGCCATGATTGAAGATGAATAGATAGTCAGTTTTCTCGCAAAAAGAAAAGTACTCAACATGTAGACCACAGGTTTCGTACTATTTTATCGAACAGCTCGCCTCCGGTGATAAGCTCCATGATTATGTATATCTTTGTCTGTCCAGCTAGAACCTACAACATGGTCAAAATGCTAGTAATGAAAATCTAAACTGGTAAGACAGAAGGATAAAATAAGTAACAGAACAATTTTAGCAAGGCAAATTTGTATAGAGAAAATAGAAAGCAGACGCCCGTATTACCTCGTTTAGCCTGATGATGTTGGGGTGTCTTACAATCTTCATTATTGATATCTCCTTTTTTATCTGTCAAGAAGCATGAGACGTAAGCTCACATTGAAATGAAGGTGTAAACTTTCCTGAAGCAGATCCTTGATGCAAATCTAGTAAAGAAGACTGTTTCTTCGGAGAGAAATTTGAAGTGGTCGCTGTTAGCTACTCCTATTTATTAACTCTGATGACAGCTACTGCGCACAACTTGTTCGTGCTACTCTGTGATACGTGCTGTTCTGCTTCTGCGGGCATATTCCACCCGCACCGGAACTCCCGACCTTTTTCCTCGCCCAAAAGCGCACGGAATATACAACGAATCATCCAAATTGGTACTAAATTGCTTGCTTGGATCAAAGCTGAGACGGGGAGGGGAAGGGGGGAGCAGGAGGAGTTTGATCTGGATACCTGTTGCAGCATCCGGTTGTTGAGGATGGTGGCCTTGTCGAGCACCTTCATGGCGACGGGGGCGCCCGTGTCGGCGTCGACCGCGAACTTCACCTTGGCGAACGACCCCTGCCCGATGGTCCGCCCCACCTCGTACCGCCCAACAAGCTTCTTCCTGGCCGCGCCCGCCATTTCCCTGGAGCCCCTCAAAGCTCCCGGCCTCGCGCCACGCTGCCGGGCTCGGCCCCCCTCGGCCGTCGGTCGGGTTTGGAGAGAGCGCGCGCTCCGCTACGCTGCGCCGGCCGTGCGTGCGAGGGAGTGAGTGTGATTCGGGTTCGGTGGTGCGCGCGCGCCGCAACCGCGATGCGATGGTTTTTATGGGAGGACGCGAGCGCGGGGATGGATAAAACGTCGGAGTGCCGCCGTCCGTGGTTCAGCTTTTTAACCTTTTCTTTTGCCAGATCTCAGTCGATTGAGTCACTGAGATTTAATCAAATCTCAGCAAGTGACATAACATGATAGAGAGAAAAAAAAAAGGCTGAAAAGAAATTTTTTGCATGGATCTAAAATGTAAGATCTCATAAATATAGTATTGACTGAGACTTAAGAAGTTTCAGTTGACTGAGACTTCGCAAGACTTTTAAAAAAAAAAAGAGGATAACCCGGCCTCTGCATCAGAGTGATGCATGCAGCCATGTTCATCTTTTTAACTGTGAGAAGAACTCCCTTTTAAAGCATTTTATTTATTACTACTTCCCATAATTAAAGAAAAATACAGTTTTTTTGAAACGTCAAGAAAAATACCACAGTTTAGTTCACCTTTCCTTTCTGTCTTGGAATTTAGCGGCGTGTAGAGTTGTATATTTGCCTATTTTTTGCCTTTAGCGGTCGCGTAAGGCTAGAATGGAAAGCACAAAAATTGATATTTGTGATTCTATTTATGTTTATCAATAAGATACATGGTGAAGAAGAACCTTCACCTCATCCTGGCCTCCGTCGTTGTTCTCTAGGCGACCAAATGAGAACCGAAAACCCTAGTTTTCATTGTCTTTCCTCATCTCTTATTCGTCCTTTTTTTGTTGTCGTCAAGGCGAAGCACATGTTAGATGGCGGTAACCGGGCTGATTTGGCCAACTTGAGAGCCAATGACGGGTTGTGGTCAGCGGCGGTGTCAGGAATCATATCATGTATAGTCAATTGGGTGTTGTGTAGTTAAATATATGAATTTATAAAATTTTGTTACCTGATTTCTACTTGTTGTGTGATGTATTTACAAAAATATGTGTAGTCAATTGACCTCATAGATCAAGTGTGGCTTCGCCACTGGTTGTGGTGGCTATTTGAGGGCAAACAGTAAGATCTGTGGCAACTCAAAAGCCTATGGCGGTAGTGGCGACCCTGCTTTCCTGACCTAGCATCTTTGGGGGTGGATCAGGGGTGCATGGGTCTTCCACAACCGGATGTGACACATGGGACCTTGTTGCTTCTCATCCTTCGGGTGGTTGAGTATGGTTGTTGAGTCCTTTAAGCGAGCTGGTCATTTGCCTTCGTCTTTGGAGTCAACGGGTTCCCCATATGGTGCCTGGGCAATGAGTTTCCATCTCTCATTATGCTTATATCATCGCCTCCATGTTGACTATTTTTTTAAATAATAGATTTTTTATATTAAATGTCAGAAATATTACGTCGTAATTATATATTTTTTAAAAAATATTACCCAATCGGTCTACTGCTGACCGATTGGATCCAGTCGGCCTGCTGCTGGCCGATTGGCCCCCAGTCGGCCCACTGCCGGCTGATTGGATCCAGTCGGCCCACTGCTGGCCGATTGGCCTCAGTCGGCCCACTGCTGACCGATTGACACCCAATCTGCTTTCTCTAGGCCGACACCCATTTATCTGTTAAATAGGTATTTGAAAAATGTTGAAAAAGTATTTGAAAAAATGCTGATCATGCATATAAAAATGTTAATCAAGTATTTAAAAAAATATTGAACAAGTATTTTAAAGATGTTGAATAAATATTTGAAAAATGTTGAATAGGTATTTGAAAAATATTAAAGAAGCATTTAAAAAAATGTTGATCATGTATATAAAAATGTTAATCAAGTGCAAAAAATGTTGAACAAGTATTTCAAAAAATGTTGAAAAAGTATTTAAAAAAATATTAATCATGTATATAAAAATGTTGAATAAGTATTTGAAAAAATATTAATCGTGTATATAAAAATGTTGAACAAGTATTTCTAAAAATGTTGATCATGTATATAAAAATGTTGAACAAATATTTAAAATATGTTGAACAAGTATTTAAAAAACATTAAACAAGTATTTTAAAAAAAGTTTAACATCTGAAAGCTGGTGGGGTAGTTATTAGCTGCGTTGGGGATCAATGCATGGTCTCCATGGCAATCACTAGAGCAGCTAACCACCCCATTAGTTTCCAATTGCTGGTTAGAAAAGGGATCGCGACCAACTAGAGGTGACTGAGCCGGTCTTCTCCATTATTTCATTCTTTTTTTCTTTTTTTCTATATTATTTTTTCAAATACTTGTTCAAAAAAATTAAATACTTGTTCAACATTTTTATATACATGATCAATATTTTTTAAAATACTTGTTCAATATTTTTTTTCAAATACTTGTTCAACATTTTTTTAAATACTTCTTCAACATTTGTTGCAAATGCTTGATTAACATTTTTATATATACATGATCAACATTTTTTTAAAATACTTCTTCAACATTATTCAAATACATATTCAACAGTTTTCAAATATTTGTTCAACATTTTCAAATACCTATTCAACAGTTTTCAAATATTTGTTCAACATTTTCAAATACCTATTCAACAGTTTTAAAATACTTCTTCAACATTATTCAAATACCTATTGTATTATTTAAAAAAATAGCTCCATGTTGTAGGTCGTTGACCCCCCCCCCCCTAGATCTCCCATTCCCTACCCTCCTTTCGGGGTAGGAGTGGTTGTTGGGCTGACATTGCATGATGGTGCCTCTCCCTCTCTCGGATGGCAGTATTTCTTACCATGCTCCCTTGCTCCTCTATAACAAACATAATCTTGTGCAAGTAGTGATGCTTTAGGATGGGCGTGTTGGTGGTTGATGTCCCTCTTGGTGTTGGTATTGTTGTGTCATGTCATGGTAAGGGTGAGGTGTCATTGCAACCTCAAACTATGGAGAATACTCTCATGACTTTGTGGGCTATTCGTTGGGTGCGTTGGGTCTTAGCTTGTTACTCATTCAATTGTAGATAGTGTGGATGGGTACTGTTCTCAGGTCCTGAGGTGTTGCTGGTACTCTTATGTCTTTGTGATCGCGATGTTTAAATCGGTTAGTATTGTTTAGAATGTGTTTGTTTCTTATGGGTCATGTCATCTTTTGGCTTCATAAGATTCTTCTTTCTTAATGCATGTACATACATGCGGCTCTTCTGCATGGCCTCGAAAAAGCATGAAATCTACACAAATGAAAATTCAACACAAATAAAGTGTTAAACATAGATAGTTTGAATGAGTAGTTATTCAGTGGGACAAAGAATAAAGGTGAAGAAATTTTGGTCAACATTTTGGACAAATGAGTAGGTAGAAAAGGAGGTTCTAGTGATTCTAAATCTAAGAGTGGTGGAATATGGAGATGGCCGAAATAGCCCTTTAACCCGATGTAATAACGAGCAATTTTTGAATTGATTTAATCAAGAATCGTGCCAGGAATACTAGCAATATCAACCATATGCGTGAATTGGACCCGGAAAAAAGTTTGCACGAAGTATTGGACCGACACATCTACCAAATATGCGTAACAAGCAAGGGCAAGAAGCAACAACAAGATTAATCAAAATATCGTTAATCGTGTTCTTAGTTCCCAAATGTTTTCTGGCATGTGGGCCCAGTCAACAGGTAAAAGAAGCACGCGATTCGGACCAGGCAAGGGCGATTTTGATGACTTTGAACCCGAATGATAAGTTTAAGCGCTAGTCTATTTCATTTCACAAATTCACGGGCTAGAATGTTCTTCCTACTAACGCAGCAGTAGCTTGCATCACCCGCGCTCGTCATATTTTAAAAAGTTGCGTAGCTGTCCATCTAAAGAAAGTGAGGTTAATTAGCTGCAAGCATCGGGCCTTAAAATAACACGAGCAGCGCACAAGGAAGCCGACGACGGGAGAATGCTCTAATAGCTAGCTCTACTCTTCTGGAAAGCAATCTATCCACAGATTGGTTTAGTATAAGCAAGTGTGGTAATCGTGCGTGCCCACTGCCGTTGGAATCAAGCCATAGCACGCACTATTTTTTGTCCGCCGTGGCCCTGCGTGGCGACGTACTCCATCCAGCTCGCTCACGACGCTTTCGATCCTGGCCCACGCACGATCACGTCAGGATCAAACGTGTGACGACGCTACATTTGTGCAGTCTGAGCACTACTATATTCTCGTATTGTCGCGCGTGGTTTTGTCAACGAGGCGTGCCAACCATTAGATCGGGTCAGCCAGGACCTCCGTGCACACACAGTGCCGGTCTTCTTGCTGCGAGCTATCCTATCCATACACGTGGAAGGAAGGGTCACGCTGGTAACGATGGTACTTATAAATTAGTTGGGTTGGGTTACCTTAGCTTAATTTAGATTTTGGGCAGATTGTGTGAGCTCAGAGAGCACGTTGCTTTCTTTCTTTCTTGAAAGAAATGGTATTGCCTCCTAAGGCCCTGTTTGTTTCTGCTTTAGTTAGTTTCATTCAAATCATCCGTGGATTGCTTCACTGGTAAAACCTGATTTGTAGAATCAGATTTGCCATCGAAATACATCTGGTGTGCTTCAGACAATTGCACTGAAAATGACTAGAATCCATGCTCAACTTCATTGGTAAAGCTGATTCCAAATAGTTGTTTATTAAAGTTCTTGTTTTCTTTCCTACGAGAATTTGTTGCCTAAAGTTGAAACAAACAAGGTCTCAGTACAACCAGTAGTTCAGTTACGACAAATAATTCACCGGTAATATTTCACTAAATAATTCATGAAGCCATTTCAACAAGATGAGAAGCCGTCCGACAGATTTTATGGATATCATGTTAAAAAAAAGACAGATTTTATGGATATGTTAAAAAAATTGGTAATAAGAAATGTTCCTTGTTAGGTGCAGGGCAGAAAACCTAATAACACATTTTTTTTGTGAATACCT